GCAGAACTTGACTGATCTAGCTCACCTAAGCAAAAGTTATTTTTAGTTTTGTGATCTAAAAAAAACAGTGACAATCTCCATTTTGTGTGTAGCAACTTTTTAGGTACAAGCATAAAAAAACCTGAGAACTAAAGAAGATTTTAGAGTTAGAGGCATGACCATATGCAGTATATAATATTATACAAAAACACCAGAATAAGGCTTGAAACGCTAACTTTTGTGCTCAAATCTTATTGCAAATCAGTGAAGATAACACCAGTCACTGTATACAATCAACAAAGGGCAAGTTACAGTGTTCAAAACAAGAATTTTTTTTAATGAAGTATAGATAAAAAAATCTGAAAATACATAATTTTCAAACAAGTCACCTCTTTGAAAGCATTATAACCACCATGGAGGTTATCAGGGGTTGGAGGAAGGGATTGTCCTTTTCTCTTCCCCCATATAACACTGGTTTCATTTCCAAAGTGTAACTTCTGAACAAAGGGTAGCCAAAAGCTCCAGTTCCCTTACAGCTGAAGATACCTTACATGGTTCTCATTTTTCCATGGTTCTCGGTATTTTTCCAATACTGAAATAAGCTAACATTAACTGTTACCTAGTTTATTAACCAAAACTATTGATTATTTATGTACAATTCAAAAGCTATACTCCAAAGAACTTTAACTCTCTGGACAGCTAAAAACTGTTACTTGAACTAGGTTAATTCTTTAGATTCTCATTTACTTGTGCCAGTATTTCCTCAAGCCTTATTCTTCAAGCTTCAACAATACATAGCCATTTACAAGAGAAGAACAAACTGGAAACCCCAACATTCTTCAGAGATGTTGGCAAGTCCCAGATCACCTAGTTTGACAGCGTTGGCTATGAACAGGCCAGTTTTTACACTGAGCTGTACTTAACAGAAAGAGAGGCGAGCTCTACTCTTAAGACCTAAGCAGGAAAGAACAGAAGCAATGTCAGACTGGTTTTGTAAGCAGGAGAACAAATGGAATAATTTTATGCTCTTCATTTAAATCCACACAAGTTTCAAAGAAAAAAAATAGTATGTATAGGTGAAGTGTGAAGTTTTCACAGCTAGTAGTAGTCAGTCTTCTACATTTTCTTCTAGATAATACCTCCTTTCATTTACCGCTGTCCTTTTCTGATATAAAAAGTCCCCAGAGGCACTCCCTGGTTCAGCTTGCCTACCTTTAGGATCTTCCTACACTCCTCCCACATTCCTGCTCATGAGTTTGTTGTACTAGCAGAGACAAGGACAGAAAGTCTCTCAGTTCCAGGAAAGCTTGATAATAACCAGCCACTTTGACTGTCTACCATTCCTACATCAGGGGTAACTGACATTCAAGGTTTGGAAACTCACAGAAGGAGGTTGCCATGCATACAATAAACATTAGATTATGCTTAAAGATCTAGATAAGAATCACAGCTTAATGTCAAGGCAGTTGTTGATTTCTACTCTTCTGATTAGTAATTCTATTTAAAGAATATTCAGATTTAATGTATTTTCAGCATTAGAAAGTTTAGTAGAAGTAACATTTGCAATATGACACTGCAAATGTGAGAAACATACTGTGACTGACCAATAAACCGCTACAATAGAAGAAGGCTCAGAGGAGGAGGAAAAGGTGATGTGCTCATGAAGCTCACAGAACAATGCAGGCTGTGAATGACCATATCTGCTGCAAAGCAAGCTATGCAGAAAAGAAACAGCTATGTCAGTTGAGCGGATCAACTAGTGGTGTAAATGTTTCTCCTCGAGTTCATAAAGAGAGTGTGAAAGACTCCCTAAGTTAGCCAGACCAGCACGGAGGGCAAGTGTGCCTCAGCCCAACATACGGTACAAAAGCCAGACAACTAGCAGAAGAATTTCAAAGATAACAATGAGCTTGAGCTAGCTTCATCCCACATATGCCATCCTAATAACTGTGGAGGCCCAGCATTGTGATGGTGAGCATGTTATGAAGACCAGCAATGGGAATCACACTGGTATTGTGGTTGAACTGTGTATTGCAACCGCTCAATTTTGTTAAGTATAACTTAAGTTTGTATTGTGTTTTCAGTGTATTTTATATCACCCTGCTAAATCAGGAATCCTGTGTAACATCAACTGTCATCAAGTAAGTCAATTTGATATTAAACATTACACTCTCCATAACTGAAATATGTAAAGCACCTGGTCAGAGAGTATTGGACTCGACATATACCAACATTCATCCTACTTAGACCTATGTGTTTCCAACTCACACCCATTTTTCTAGTATTAACTACCACTTAGATTCAGAAATATTGGAATTTCCTGTCATACTAAGGGAAGAATGTTTTCAGTATAGAATGCATTTTGCAGGAAACAAGATCAGACCATGTCAGCTATCTTCACAGCATTAAGTACCTTTTTCGTGTTGTCAAAAAGATGTGATGTACATCCTGCGAAACAGGGAGAAAAGTACTGGACTTCATCTCTGCCACAAACTGGGTAGTACATAGAGCGTGAACATCGGCAGTTAGCATTGCAGGGCGCTGTTAAGTTATATAGCATGCCTGTTCTGAAAGGTGAAAGTTAATACACTTTTAATAAAGTAATTTACATATCTGCTGTTTTTAAATAAGTAATGCAGTATTTATCGGATACTAAATCTCAAAATATTCAATTCAGGTGATTTATCCACTAATTGTTCAAAAATAAGCCATATTCCTAGCAGTTACAACTCTAGAGAGAATCCCCATTTAATATGTACCTAGTCATTTTTGTGCTGTTATTCCTTCCATAGGTTACTCCTCCAATTTCCATTCACAGAACAGGTGACAAAAGTCTGTGCCTCAGCCCAATTCTTATATTATCTCCTCCCTCCCACACACTTATAAATTTGAACTTCTTCAATTTACGGTTTTAGGAAAAAACGCAACAAGATTAAAAGTAGTATTTGGTATTGCTTGTTCTACTGATCATGTTCCAAGGTTTTTTCCCTGTTTTGGATTCAAGTCCAGTTGCAAATCCACCATATTTTTACTGTTTTTAACACCGCTACACAGACATCCAGATTGTTCCAGCACCAAGACAACTGCACGTGCTAAATGCAGAGCACCATGACACACAAAGTCTTATCATAGCCAAAAGGACTTTAAAGATTTTACTCTGGCTGTTTAGGGAATAAATTAAATTCTGTTCTTCATTAGTTAACTCTTGCTTACTGTAATTACTCCCAATTTAGGCATTTACTTCCAATATAGGCCACAGTATGATTGTATTTTAAATAATCCCACTATATTATTAGTATGAAAAATCAGTTTGGGATGTGGGGGGACCTTCTTAAGACAAAACTGGAGACAATAAAAACACCCTTTGATTTTCTAACAGTAGTGCATTAATAAGTCAAGAAGACTCACAAGTTAAGCATTCAGTCAGCTGAAACCAGAATACTAACGCCTCCAGTAGTTTAGGTATTGTACTGTAGACTGAAAGTTCCAGATTCATTACCTAAGAGGCAGGTTTCTTCAATAGAATTTAAGATGGTCAAATACTAACAGGAAAAATAATTTATCGAGGAATTAAGCTGATTACTTACAAGGAATTCAAACTGTATATGGAATATTAGAGACATCATAACTATATTCTTCATTTGGTTATAGTCTAGTTGAACCCTACTAAGTCACATTAGTTCATCCTTCATATATAGAAGAATCAAAGTTAGTTTGCTCTGGCCTAAAGCACTACAGTACACCATAAGCAAACTGACTAATCACAGGTTTCCTCATACAGTGCCTTGTTAGCCCATGAGGCATGTCAAGCCTGGAAATATTTAATCAATTCAGTGGTAACATTTGTCCTGTTTACATGTAGAGACAATGTCTCTCTTCCTTGACCTACAAAGAGAGACTGAACCTTCAGTTACGCATGGTTAGAGATAAATATTAAAATACAAAAGAAACAGTTTAGTGTACCTAGGTTCTTTTGACATGGAACTTCTTGTTCTAAAATCACTTTTCCAAAGAAGCCTAGCCAATAAGGGCATTAAATGGTCTTTAAGAGCGCTATAGGTCCGGTCGAGTATTCTTTCACAGCACCCAGAGACTTGTAGGACTGAATAGAACTACAGAAATAGACACTGCATTTCTGTTCCTTCAAGTTTTCAAGGAAATATTGGGCAAAAGAATTTGGCAAAAACAATTATTTGAAGTATTTACTAGACAAAGTAAACCATGTTAGTTCTACCTATAGCTGAATTTAATAATAAACCAAGTAACTGCTATCAATATACTTTGTTCATTAACATATGTACTCAAAAAGTGATCCTATACTCATGTGATTCTGGTACTAAACATACAAAAGCATTCCCCACCCCTTCACCTCCAAGTTATTTTTCAACAGAAAGAGAATGCTTGCCATGAAGGATTCTTCAAAATCTCCACAAAAATGAATATGCATCAATTTCCAAGTCAACTCTCAGAGTATTCTCATAATTTATTCTTTCAGAAGAATTTGTTCAACAGCATAAGCAGGAGTCAGACACTTGGTTATTCTTCCACGAGCTTATGAATTTGTTAGAGCTACTACTACATATTTTAGTTGCTTATGCCTTCATGGAAAGCTGTTTCAGTATCACTAACTATTCTGATGCAGGTCACATGGCCAAGAAACTATAGTCCCACATGTAACAGTGAATTAGATAAAACTGAACTTTTTTTTTTTTAATGACAGACACTGAGTGGAAAGAGTTATTTCAGGATTGGTTAACTCCAAATTGCTGTAGATAAGAGGTCTTCAGCAACCGTTAAACTACGTAGCTGCCAAAGTTACACAAAATTACTAAATACAAGTTAACTGTATATAACTTTGGATGAAAATCAGTTCAGCTGTACCTTTTGTCAGCTGCTTATTATCACAGGAGCTGGTATAGAAATATGGATATACTATTTTCTATACAACCTCTTCAGTATTCAATTACTCAATACAGATTCTTTTACTCAATATGCAACTATGAGTTTTCCACAACCAAAGTCTGCATCCTAGTTTTCACAGTTCTGAAGTGTCCACAGTAATCTTACAGCTAGCATTTTTTCAGACACTGAATTAGAGCCATGTTTTAACTGTCAAATGTCCATACTGGTCTTTTAATATATTGTCAACTGATACAGTAAGTTGTAAAGATGGAATCAAAATGAGTGGCAACTTAGACTTTAAGGATTTTTTTTTTTTTCCTCTCCAGTCATCAGTGTATGAAATTTGGTTTATTCATTTTGCATGCCTTCTGGAAAAGGAAACAAAAATGAATGAGCAAGGTATCATGACATTAAATTTCCTCTGTCAGAGAACTTCAACCACTGCTGCCTCCAAGCCCTTCAAATTTCTGTCCTGTTAATCTAAAGTTATCTATTTTACTGTTTTCACATCTACCTAACAGAGACATGAAAAATATCTGGTCATTCTTTCATGTCACTCTGAATTTCTGGTAAAATTTTGTCATATTTGTCAGTTATGTTTATATCAACGATTCCTTTAAAGGACCTAAGGAAATCAGTAGCCTCCATATTCTGTAACATTTGTGCACTTAGTTGCTTCCATAAGAAAGATGTGATTTTCCTGCATTCTTCTGTTTGTTATACGTTCATTTTAAGTCAGTTAAAGCATGATAAATATCAAGCAAAGAAACCATGTAAGCTTAGCTGTTGATTATATGTTTATATTTTTTTCCTAGAAGTATTACCAACTTCCCCCTCAACCCATCTTCTGCATTTTCACGGTGCACTTCATGCTATTGTGTCAGTAAAGCGCAAAGATCGTCTTCCCCATCCTATCTAGGTTCAAACGTCTTTTTATGCATTGGAGTATAACTTATAAATTCTGGTTTTGTAAGTGAAAGTAGTAACTAACCCTTTTTAGAAATGGTGGATTTGGGGAAAATAGCAGAAAAGTATTGGGAAGTTATTCACCCTGTTGCACAGTACGCTGTTCATGCTTATGATTTTTTCAAATGGCAGCTAGCATTCCCTAGCTACCAGCCTACTAGAGTTATTTTGCACAGCAGCATCTGGCTCTTTGGCAGACCCTCAAACAGCTGGAGTTGCCTCTGGCTCTGTCAATTCATGACAGAGCAACTGACGACTTGAAAGCACAGGTTTGGCACAGCTAGCCACCTTCCTCCTGCTTTCAAACTGCCCATGCTACAGAAACATGTGCTATTTAAAACTATGAGAATTGAAACATTATAATCTTATAGTTAATCCCTTAATAAGGCATGATTGGAATTTTATACAACATAGTACCTATGGTGGTGATTTGATCACATACATCTAATGTTGAAGTTTTAAAAGTTAACCTAGAAATCCATTCTTTACAGCACGCTTATCCTTGCAGATATTTATTTCTAATCTTGCTTTATTTTTACTTTCACTTTTCTGACTTTTTTTCCCCAATGCCATACTGGTTTCCAGAGTAAGCTTTGTTCACAGCAACAGGAAGAACATTCATCCTAGAATAATTACAGTTACTACAAATATCTAAAATTGAGTGATTGACTGCATTCTCATTAGGAATGAGAATTGTGTTGTTTAAGGGAAAGAAAAGTACATATTGTTTAGAGAAGTCTTTCCCATAACTGTCAGCCAAAAATATTTAAGTCATATTTCAGTCAACTGTGTTACTCCACCCATTTTATTCTTCAATTCGGGTCACTGAGCTATGCTCTTTTTGCATTAAATTTCTATCTCAGTCAGCACTTTTACCAGGAAAAAGAATGTCACTTTTGTAAATGGAGGCTAGATATGCTAGAATCTCATGCTACAATAACGTCTTTGTTTTTCTAGGGAAAAATGTGCAATCAGTAAGTTGCAGTGCACCTCAGTGCTCTCATGAAATTGCTGCACATGACAGAATCCTTCCACAAACAAACTGCCCAGATTGTCAAGAGCTGGTAATAAAACAAGATGCAAAAAGACACACTACTTCTACAGAGATACAAAGTTAGCTTTAGTCAATACCATGGCTACTATACCTAGAATGGTTACAGAAGCTAGGATTTGGTCCTCGAACAGGACCGGCCTGCTCAGAATATTTTGCAGGCGATGTATCATTAATCATCTGTTACATAAAGATTCCAAGGTTTTAGAGTTCCATAAAGCATTTCACTTTCATTCACCAAGGCAAAATATGACATTTTTAAAGGTTTTGTATTCTGTGATGTAGCTTATTTATTTTCAACATTAACATCAAACCCAAAAGTGGATTAAAAGATATTTACCCATTATATGTTTCAGAGACACCTGCGAAAGGTTCATTCCCACATTTAGCAAACAAAAACACTGTGTTTAGTAGTAGGGCCACTGAACAAGTGCCTATTATGAACTTGATTATGCTTTTGCAATCCATTTCGCACTTGGAAACCAAGATGCCACTTACGATTTGGCCTAGTGCTGCTGCTGGAATTAACACAAGCCCTATAGGAAAACAAGACACCAGCAATTACACAAAAGTGCAAGATATAATTAGTGAAGTAATTTAGAGTGCAATTTTATGTTAAGAAAAAAATCACAACAGTTACCTGTATCTTAAGATGCAGTCCATGTGATGTCATTCTCAAACCATCTTACCAGAATCTGTCAACATGAGTAATTTACTCTACTCTTACATTATCTTTAGCTTTTCTAGAAGTTCAACTTGACAGCATAATTTATAGTTGTTCAAAACCCAAATTCAATGCAGCAAAACAAGGTTACTTAAGAGTACTACATACTGGGCAGGAATCTCTGAACACCAATAAGCTACTTCATGAAAACAGAAAATGCTCTTTCATTGCTTCAGTGGTGGTTTTTCAACATGTCCGTGTTCTTTGTTATATATTTGTGTTATGAACTTTTTAATAAGAGAACATAATCACTGTTATATACGAGACAGCATAAGATACAATAAGGCATCTACAGAAAGATTTAGAAAAGTCTAGACCAATGGGAGACCTTTCATATCATAGTCCATATAGTCCATAATGATTTAACCTCTCTGCACTATTAGGACTCCAGATACATAACTGAGCATTTCTATATGGCTAATCTACAATACAACACAGAATTCAGTGTAACTTGCACTGACTCGAGACAGCTGATTTTAAAGACACTTCAGGTACAGTGGTAGAATGCCTAGGCCACGGACACTCATAGTCAAAGGAAGTTTCTACAGTTAACTTCATCGTTGGTATCACTTAGACCAGCTAGCTCAACATTAGTTTAGGTACAGCTGGCTTTAAAGAAATGCCTACACTAATGTTGAAAGCTGTACAGTTGATAAACATTATCAATATTTTCAACTCAAATTAAAAGAATTTCAGACAACATCTACAGACAAAAAATGAACATTCAGTTTTCCACTTCAATGCTGATTACTGTTTAACAATTGAGTATGTATTCCAATGTATTTCTATGTAAAACTTGCACATATTTTGTTTTGAAGCAATGATGTCTGCATAGTGATAGTACTACCTAGTGTTATCTAGGGGAGTAAGTAATGCAGAAAGTGTCTCAAACATATTTGTTGGAGAAAGAACACTTCAACTAGCATACCCTTATATTGCAACTTTATACAGCTGCAGTGATTTAGCAAAAAACATTCCAGAAATACTAAGTCTGCCATACTGCAAGCACCTGCTGGCCTGTCTGCTTTGATCTGGTTGCTGTTCTTCAGCTGTAACTGTCAGAGTTAATCATATGACCCTACCTACTGCAGCTCTTCCATCAGATTTTTCTATTTGTTTCTCCAATATTCACCTTTTCATAGCCTTCCCCTGTTCTACCTATTACTTCTGCATATCAGATAACAGGAACAAGTAACAGTAAGTCAACTATAGAAGCAGCTACACAATAGTTTCATAATATATCCTGATTAGTTATTTTATGGTAAGCCATTTCACTGTAACATTATGGTGGAATTGAAGAAGAGAAATGCCCAGCCAACCCCTTAGTTGTGGTAAGCAATGCTTTTTTTCCAGCTGCCCTTCATCTTGCTTCCTTTAGTAGGGACTAAGGCTTAATGCTCCTTCAGCTGATTTTAAACAAGGATAATTAAATGTTTTTCATCAAGAATAAGAAAGGAATAAGTTATAGTTCCAGCAGCATGCAAAATTCTTATTCTATTTTGAATACTAGTATCAAGTCTTCAGAACCTATAAACAAGCAGATTTGTACCCTTCATGAATTAAGTACCAGCATTTTCATAGGGCAGGAAGAAAATATAAAAATACTGTTTCTGCTGTGAAAACAGCATTTCTCAGACAAACACAAGATCCCTATATAAGCTTCCAACTGTAATGTTAATAAGGTATTCAGCACAATATATTTAAGATTTAAAAATGAAAAGCCACAATACCTCCAAGAGTTGCTGAAAAACTTGATGTCTTTCCAAACTGATTTTCTATAAACTTTGGTAGAAATGTGGCAAAACCAGTGGCCACCAAAGCTTCTGAAGAACTGGCTATTATTAGACTCATAAGCACCGGATTCTTCAACAGTATCTATGGGGGAAATTACATGGTACTACAATGAAATAATATCCTGAGTGTTATGCTAAACTAGAAGTCATGACATTTTAAAGTAGATACTCTCATGTGAAACTTCACTAATATGCTTTTCTTGCTTTAAGAACCTTAAGCATCAACAAAATAAATATGCATCAAATTATCAGTACCACTGCAGACTTCCCTATCACGACATAATAAAGAAGCAATTACATAAGTGTTTAGAAAGGTATTACCTGAAAAAGAATTTAATTTCTCAGAATGTATCAGTTTTAATAAAGTCAAGATTTCCATACCAGGAGAGCCACGGGAAAGTCTTTAAAACTGTTTCCAATATTCTTGGTCTCAACAAGCACCTCACTTCCATCATTATGGGTTTCAGAGATTTTTTCAGCCTGTATTTTTGCTGTTCCTACAAATGGACATATTTATTGGCAATGAAAATATTAAGTCTAAGAGCACAGTTATTCAAAGTCAGAAAAAGCATCCAAGTAAGTGTTTCCTTTCCTTGGGAAAACTAGCGCAGATGCTGTAAGTCTTCTTGAGTATTTTATTGGTACAGGTCCATAAAAAGATAGATAATGTATTGTTGTGGAAAAAAGAATTTGGCTGAAAGGATCATACTTCCATTGGAAGGCCTTGGCTGTAAGAAAATTTGAGGAATATCCTAAGAATTTCAGATTATCCTGAAGCACCTTCTTTTTTTTTTTAAAGCATCCTCACATTGTCCCCAGTTCCCTACTTCATGGTTTCTTTTCCTTCACCATTTCTCTTCCCAGATAAGCATAGTAAGTTCCTTTAGATGCTCTTCCAAGAGACTCCTAGATAATACCTCCCTGAATAGAATTTACATTAAAATTATTCTTTTTAGAAGATTGCTCTGAGATACTTTGATTCATGCTTTATTATTCCACCCAAAACAATAAGGCAATAGAGTCAAAGACAACAATGCATGAGTTAAATAATGGAATTTCCTTATGATTCTTGGTGGGTAACAGAGTCCTAGGTGCTTAGCTGCAAGCATCTTCCAACTTTGACCATTAGTTTCCATGTTCTACCTGTTTCCAGTCCTACCATACATCTCTATGTACACAAGATCTTCCCTCTAGCCCATTCACTTTGTTTTAAAGGCTGCATATTGGAAGCAAGGTATTTATCATCAGGTTGTAGCCAAAGACAGTTAACTGAGAAACAGAACCAAAGAGGCATCAACCACTCAGTTCAGTCTATAACCTACAGGTATAAACAAATCTCTCTTGCAAAGTAGCCCATTATTGTTAAACATTTACCTGGTAGGTGTTTCGGAAAGCATGAAAAAGGTATTATAAGAAGCCAAATTGCAAAAAAGCATGCAAGAAATGCTATCCACCATGCTCCAAGCCAACGTGGGTCATCTGGATCCATCTTTGTACTGGAAAAATAATTTGGAAAAAGGTTAACCATTCATTAATTCAAATCACCAATTTCAGATGTCAGTGAGCTGGCTTTTTTTTTTTTAATACTCATTTAACAGAAAGTCTTTGAATATTGTAATTTTCTTGGGTTTTGCATGTATTAAATTTATCGTTTGCTTGTTTAAAGCACATTCATCAGCTCTACTAGAACAATATTGGATTCTACCAAATATAGATTTCAACTCATTAGTCAAATTCATTCTGATTTAAAGGCCACTGTTTGGCCCTGATTTCAAGATCCAGTAGCATGATTAAGTTACTGAAAAAGCTGGTTTTAGAAAGAATCTTGATAATCAGTGAGTCATGTAAAAGCCAATACAGAAGTTCAGAATGCCATTGCATTGATCTAAAGTCCCTAAAACATAGGAAATGCAAGTGTCAATGAAGTTGTTTGATTTGGACAGTTGTACAGTTTAAAACATTTTTTGAATAGTGGACTATTACTCAACTGGTAGATTTTCTACCAAGTTCTTCCCCAGGAGGTAAGTAGCATTATATCCCACCTCAGAGAAACTTTTTGCACAAGAAATCAATAGTTGCAATCTAACTCTAAATGAGCAACTCAAAAGACAAAGTATTTTTTGTTAATCAGTTTTAAAATAGCTAATATCTCAAAAACTAGAACTAAGTATTTCCACTCCATTGTGTGTGAAAGTTTCTCTGGAAACTCTGGAAAGTTTCTCTGGACTACTCATTGTTGGAAGTAACCCACTTGCTAGAAGCCCTTGTGAATGCAACTTGTTACCAAGTTAAAGAAGCTCTTGAAAATGGAGTATTTTCCAAACAAAAACACCTTCTCCTCCTCACATGGAGGAAAGTTGAAGATTTTAATAAGAATTATTAGGAAGAGAAAATAGAAAACAAAAGACTATGTTGTATCTTGCCTTTCTGGGATCTGGATATCAATATAAATATTAAGTAGCTGCCCTCCTAAGACATAGCCAATAGCAGGACCCAGCAGTGACATGGCATAGCCAATTCCTAGAAGAGAAAATAGATCAAGTTCACCATACATTTTTAATGCTTTCTTTTCAAAAAATCCTAAATCAACTTCAGACCAAATGGTTTCTGTAATTCAACTTGTTTTCACTCTCATTACTTAAACTACAGCATGTAGGAGACAGAATTTGTACTTGTTTCTCAACAAGAAAATTTGCAGCTCTTATTAAAAGCTGCAACTCAGAGGTTCAGCAAGACACTCCATTTACAGCATCTTTATGCATTATTTTTGCACATCTTGTGCCTGCAATCACCACCTAGCTTGTGAAAAAGTTTAAGTGAGGCTGTTATGAGCATCAATCATTAACAGTACATGCCCAGAATCTTTAAGAACACAATTATTTATATTTTTGTTTTGACTCTTAAGGTAGCTTTTAGATCTGCCAAGACCAGAAACCAGGGTTCCATTAAAACTTTTGATTCGACTAATATCTGCCACTTGAGTTCATTGAGAACTGAATCATATCCACTTCAATTTATTGATATGAGCCTTAAAATACAAAGCTCTTAACAGCTTCTGACAATTCTAAACAAAAAAACACACAAACAAAAACCACCACCAACAAAAAAACACAATGTTGCAAGTGTAACCATATCCTACCAAAGAGCACTTCTAGGTCTATCCATTTTTTTTGCTCTTAAGACAAGATTTTCTCAATGTCACAATAATCTTCCCGCCCTGCCAGCCAGATATCTGTGGCACTTCAGCACTGCTGGCAGGAGCACTGTCTCTGCAGATAAAGGCTTGCAACTAGTAATAACTAGATATGTTTAAATAATTGGTAAGACACGCATCCTTACTGCTGATATCTGATGCTTGTACCCAGGTTGAAGAATCCGGATTTCTCCTTTGTTTCTAAAGTGCCTGGATCCTGAGTATTCAGTATTATTTCACTCTCTTTGGACAGCAAGAAGGAATAATGGAGGAGGGGGTGTTGGGAGGGGTGCAAGATTGGGAAGGGGTACAGAAGGGGACACTCAAGTATCAGTAAATCAAAATAAATATTGAGCTGACATATCCCAGGTCTTCCTGTAATTTGGAAATAATTACATGCTCATAGGATCTTTCTGAGTTAAGTCCACATTCATCCTACTGAACTTCAAACCTAGCTTAGAAAGTGCCTATTTCCTCCTACAGACCAGTCAGTTTATCATTGGGAATTGTTTAACTTTTCATTGGCTTTAGATGTAGATGCCTCATGAAAACACACGCGGTTTCAGAAGAAAAACTACCAGCTTATGAGTTGCAAGCTTATAGCCTAAGATGCTAGCAGCTATTTATAGACACTAGCAGAAAGTTATAGGGCTTTTCTTGGTGCCTTGCACAAGCTTTCTGCATTAGGCAAAGCAACACAATATAGTTTAAATCCTCAATACATTGCATAAAAGCAAGAAAAAGAATTAAGGCTTAACGGAGCACCTGTTCACTCACTGGTGTTCTAGTTTTGTTATATTAGATAGAATACACTGTTCTTCTGAACTCAGCAGTTGTCTGGAGATTGCACAAGCATTAATTTATTGTATTGTTCTGTTATGTTTTAAGTATGAACACTGATACCATTCTCCTAATTTTTCAGGCCATTTCTTAATCCTCTAATCATGCAGACAGCTATAATTCTCCTCTATTTATTTCACTGGCCACCGAAAAAAATACCTGTAATAATCTTCTCTCACAATACAAAGAAAAAGCAAAAATAAAAGCTGTCTTCATTATTTAAGAGTTAACATATGCTACCATTCTACTTGGCATCAAATGAAGTGGCTTGCCTGGAACAATTAGTCATCTATTTGGATACAATTCTTGCTTATTTCAATTTTTCCCCCTAAAATATTGATTTCATCTGAAAAACAGTCCAGGAACCTAAGATGTTTTCAATTCTTCGTGCAAGTTACCAGTATAGCTAACATACTTTTGTCAGCTTACACCTAAAAATGTGGAAAATAGCAAATAACTTCATACCCATAGGAAACACACAGAGACTGCAACGAACTTGACAGCAAAGATGCACATAACCCAGAGAGTGCTGAGTGGAAAAATGAAAAACTGCTAAGAATTAGTATTCCTTAGCTTTCAAACAGCCGCACAGTAAGACAAACATACTTTCCATGCTTCTAAGCAATCCCATTACTTTCAGTTACAGAAAAATACTTCCAGTATATTCCTCCTGAAGCGCCAAATTTTTATGTGGCTAGAGAACTCCATTGATCATATGATGCACACGAGTGTCCTGGCACTGAAGGGACAACCTACTGTTAAGAAGGTAAATAAATAAGACTGTTAAAGGATAGATTAAGGTCTGGCTGCTGACCTGATACACAGTAGTTTTCAACACCCATGACACTAAAAAGCAAACTTCTGCTACAACTTATTCTCTTGTTAAGAGGCAGGCTACAATAACCACTTAATCGTTTTCAGTTACTGAAATGGGAAAACAGCCGCAGAAGTGCACAAAGTAGCTTTACCATGCTCTGTAAAATAACCATTGAAAAGACTTGATACTTGCAGCAGACTAATACCTAACTTGCACAGTAATAAATATCGAAACACTTTATGCTTGTAAGTAAACAATGACAAGACTGATTTAATCAGAGGAATTCATAAAAGCATTTGGAAGGCATTGCAGTCTGTAATCTATCCAGACAACGTGTTATAGACGGTTTTAAAAGTTACCTATATAAAGGGAAGACTTGTGTTTGGGGACACTATCATCAATAAAAGCTGTCCCCAATGTATATAGTGGAGTTCCTCCAACTCCCAGCAGCAGCTGTCCCAGGATAAAGACATACAGATAGCTGGGAAGTGAAGACTTCGTGCTGGCACTGCAAGTGAAGTTAGTAGAGCTTGATCCTGGAATTTGACACGTATCTGAAAAACAGAGACAGCAAGACTTTAAAATTGTTACCCAGCTCGTCACAGTCCAACTCAAGAAAAACCTGTACTAAGGGCTAAACTACATATGAAGTGCTGTTAGCGCCAGGCTCACACTTTGATTTTCAAGTCAACTAATATATCCTGCATGACAGTGTCCTACCCTTCTATAATATCTTATCCCCCAAAAGAAATATTATCATGCCTTGGTTTTTGTTTCCTTACTAGGAAGGAAACGTGGATGAAATAGCCTTATTAAAACATTCTGGCTTGTTGAAAGCATTACAGACCAGACGTATGCAAAAAAAAAAGTCAAATGATCATTCAATAGGTTAGTGACTACTCCTAGGCAACAGACACTTCATTTTGTTCTTGTACCTTATAATGATTCTGAGGAGCACTAACAACAACTTCCACTCTTAAGTGACAGAGGAGCCTTGAACAACCTGAGACAAGTTGGACTGCTGGAGAGGAAAGTGCAGTTATCAATCACAGGCAAAGAAAATCCTCCCTTCTCATTCACTCTTTTGAGTGGTGTTTGTCAAAAAAAAAAAAACAACCCACACACCAACAAAACACGAAACTTAAAAACCCACACCACTATCTCTCAGAGCACACACTGCCATATCTCCAGAATGAGAAGTTCATGTAAAGCCTTTGTACTTGTCCACACACACAAAGAGGGAAGCAGAGGTAGAACAGCCCAAGGTTGCATCTGCTCCTGTAATGCTTGGCCCTATAAGGAGGGAAGAGAAAAGAGGAAGCGAAGACAGGGAGTACGTTTTCTCTTCTCCTTCCTCTTGCTATCATTGCATTTTAAGTAGCAGACAGGCCCAAGTGACAAGATCAAAAAGAGCAGCATGGTTCTTTCCAGGTTTTTCTACAGAAGACTGTACAATCCTAAGGAAGAGGAAGAACCCATCAGTTTGGTGGAAACAAGCCTAATTTGAGATCTAGAAGTCACTTCATGAAATAAGCTGATTACATGTGATAATATGAACTGGTAGACTATGGTTCTTCATGAACCCCCATCCCCACCTCCAATGTCTCAATTCATTTCAATCTAAAAGCCTGTACCACTGTGAAACTGATTGATTATTGCCTCTCTCCTTCAGTTTTCTAGCTCTTCAGTTCATATGCCCTAGGAAATTTATCCTGACATTGTGATGAGAGCAGGTGATCACACTAGTTTGTTTTCAGAACCATGTAATCAGGTCTGACTACAAAACTAAGAGAATCATTAATATGCAGTTTAATACAATCATAATCCTTTTATTTGCATCACCTGCCAGACTTCTCTTTTTTTAAAGCCAGCAAGTACAAATGCACTTGCTGAGTGGAGTTATGGACCATATTTCATGCTTCCAAGATACATTTTAAAAGCAAATATGATTTACCACAAAACTATGAGGTTAGTTTAAACCAGCATAAGTCAAAATTGCTGTCAAACAACAGTTTACTCTCTCTACCTCAGTCTTTCATGTCATCACCTTCCTGTACCAGTCCAAGGTTCAAGCAGATTCATAAAGCGACACAGGTTAAATCTAATCTGGATTAGATCTACAAGCCTGTTTACTGCGGTCATAAGAATGGTGGAGAGAGAAGGCATTGGCTTTTACATGATCAAGAAAGTCTAACCTGAGATAAGCCAAGCTCTGCAAGAAGTTTAAGATGAGTGGCTGACCATTTCTAACTACCTTTTCTCATTAAACTTGTTTTTCCTTCTAAAAGTCAGTGGATTAGACTTGCATTTTAAAGACTAGAATTGCATTAAAGGCAACATCATCGAACAGAGTCAGTCATTAGAAACCTTCTTGCATCCTTTAATCTAACATATCTATCTGAATCCAAGTTATGTAAAGGTCAAAATATTCCAACATATCTAATGCAACATACTAGCCAAGGCAGCAGAACCAACTGTGAGATGCTTTAGCCATTACATTAATTAGAAATAAGATGGGTCAATACTAGTTTTACTAACATTTTCAATGACAGCCAGTAGGCGTGGGAGCTTTTGTCTTTTGGGGGGCAAGGAATAGTTTAAAGAGAGTTATGAAGAGTAAGAAATAAAGAACAGCTTGATTTCTGTTCCTTTTTGAACTCAAAAAATCTGTCTCCTCTTTAAGTCTTTAATGGAAAAGTCACTCAAAGCTTAAATGAATACACTGAATGAAGACTAAGTTCTTAGTTTCTAAAGGCAGATGTTCCGGTTTCACAAAATGTCTAAGTGGTATAGAGAAATAGACCCAGCAGTGTAGAGAACAGCAGTACTATCCACTATTCAGCTAATCAGATAGTCTCTTCAGAGAGCAAAACCAACAGAAAAACCAGACATACTGATGGTGCAAGACAAAACAGTCAAATTAGAGGCTGACATCACACACATTCTGTCACCATTAGTACCCAAATGCCACAGTCTTCTTTACTCTTTAATTGTCCTTGGCATGTTCTTGGAAAGAAGATCAATTAATGCCCTTCTGAGAAGATTCACTAACTGTCAGACCCTAAATGACTTATCTACCACCTAAGTTTGCAGTAGAACGGATAACTGAATAAAGTGTTCAAGTCATTCTCCTTCTCATATCACACCACATACATTTCAACTCAAATGGCTACAACTTGTTATCAACAAAGATATTTCTTTCTTCCAAAGACATCGTCCACATCCTGTTACTGAAGGGACTCATGGAATAACTCAGGTTGTTAGAGACAGAGTCACACAGTCCAACCTCCTAATACAAACTATGTCAAAACTGAATGCAACCCAACTTGCTCGGGACTTTATTCAGCAGGGTTTTGAAACCACCACCCTCCCCCACCCCGCCCCAAGATAAGGCCTGCACAGTCTTTCTGGCTCATCTGGTCCAATGCTTGATTGTCTTCACAATAAAGTTACCTTCCTTGTGTCAACTGAAGATCTACACTTCACATTTGCTGTGACCGACATTTTTTACAAGTTTAAAGATGTTCCAAGAAGATCTGAGACAGAAGTTTAGAAGTACACTGCTTATAGCACCTGCAGGTTTTACAGCCTTTTGTAGTGTCCACGGGTAATCAAATACAGAATGGTTCCATTACACACAAACCAGTAGATGGTGCTCCTGACTACAAATACCAGAGCCAGCTGAGACATTGACAACCCTACATAACCTAAAAAAAGTCAGCAGACTAGATCACTGGTTACATCTAAATTACAAAATTGAGTCTTAAACCATTCTGGAGATTAGACAAGGCATATTTGCTGTGGTTTAAAATTTTTGTAAATAGATAGACCATTGATTAGCTACTCTTTCAATATGAAACAGATTAAACTATTTCTAAGAGTGCTATTACGATAAATAATTCCAATGGAATAGTTTTGTAAAGTAGGATATGTATATACTCAGAATAAAATAAATGAATATTTCAAGGTAAAACAGTAAGTTCCAAGAAGTCTGTAAGCCATATACTGTATTTTGTATTCCAGACTAGATCTATTAGTTACCCTGACAGCCATATTAAATATTGCACTGAATTATACTTTGAAGTTGTCCTAAACTCACTGTACTTGGATATAACAGATTAACATAAATAATCAAGTAACCAACTCGTAACTGTTCAAAAATAAATTAGGTGGTAGATTTTAATAGAAGGCATCAAACAAAAGTTTACTCCCAACACATTAAAATCTCTATAAACTACTCACCCAAACAAATAAGCAACAAGGAAGGTTTTTGGGATGCGGTGCTATTAAATTCTGCAACTAAATGTAGAGTTAAGATGCTTCATCAAGATCAGAACTAGCAAAACCAGATATCCTATAAAATCATGTACTGTGGTTTACTTAACTGTTAAAGGATGTCATTGCACAGCACACGCCGATTTACATCATTTCTGTCACAATGTAGACATTCTCTGCACTCTGTAGTCATTTATCTTTGATAGTGTTTTGTTTGCCTCAGCTGAAGTCCTTAAATTACAGCAGTCAAAACAGCATTAACTCAGTCGGCTTACAGTGCCATGGAGAAGAAAGCATATGCTGCACTGAAAATCAGCTTTTAGATTTCAAAAGTTCATGTAGAACACGATCCCTAATAAGGTAAACACCCACAGCATCTTTAATGGCAGATGAAGTGGCAGATGTTTCATCCAACAGTAACAGATGCTTTGAGGTTGGTAGGAGGGGGAAAGATCAGATGCAATAGTTTCCCATCTCCCTTTGCAATCCCATCCTGTCAGTATCTTGTTTCAATAAAAAACCTACAATCAGGTTGGAACTTTTTTGTATTAAATTCAGTTCCCCTTCCATACTATTGAAGTAGGGAGAGTAATACTGAAACTGAAATCGTAGAGAAATAGGACTGTAACAGAGCCAGGAGCAAGTAAGCTGCTGCCTCTCTACTAAGGGTTAACAAGTAATCATCTGCTGATAGCCTCCAAACACTGAAGTTTTCTCTTTTGGCCTTGTTCAATTAAAAGTCCAATTAACTTCTGCCTCAGATCCTCATTTAATAAATGGGGAATAGCTTACCAAAGTTATTTGACTAATGGTTGATGTCCAGACAGCTCATAGAAGTGTGTGACATGATTAACATTTAAAAAAAGGTTGATAATCAACAACCAAAACACTAAGAACCTTCCATCAGATTGCTTAATAGCTACTTATTTTTTTAGTGAGTACTCTAATATTCTTAGATATTGAAGGCATAAATCTGATTAAACACTGCAATAACAGTTAAGACAATCCTAAAAGATTAAGTCATTCTGCTTTAAAAGTATCTATGTTTCTTTATTCATTACAGGTGTGCCACTAAGTTGAGATGCAAATAGCTGGCACTGAGCACACTGCATTTGAAGTCTTGTTTCATGAGAAAAGATACATAAGATCTGAGAGCTGGCTACTCCCACAGTATCAGTATTGCTTTGGTCAGTATAGTTCAGTACTGCTTGCTCCTTCTTTATTTCAAAGAAACCCACAAGTTTTAATCAACATTTTAGAAGAACTTAATGAAACTTGTTAATGAATTACTCAAGATACCCTTAATAGTTCAAAACCCAAAAGAATGGCAACATGCAGTCACTTTTCAACAAGGTAGTAAGCTTTCCTTTAACATTTATTCTACATCACTGACATAGCTTGCATTCCTATTCATTAAGAAAGGTCAGATCATTTTTTTATTCAAAGTGAATTTTAATTGCATTTATCAATGCAAGTCAAAAAAGCATTTTATTCAAATGTTGCTCATGAGCAAGAACCGATATTGACACTCAGATCTCTTCTGAAAAAGAAAGTTCACTGTGCAGAGAGACAGCTCTTGAACTTGAGGATTTCACAGAATCATTTTCTTTTCAGTGTTAAAAACAATATTCTGTTTTTAGGACTTCAACACAGATTAACTAGGTTGTACCAAATTAAGAATTGCACCAAGCTGCTACAGAGATATTTTTTTTTTAATCATTTTCAAAACCTAAGGATGAGCTTACCTTCAAGTTTAGCTCCATAGTGGTATTTTCCACTACTGAAGTGTGGTAAGGAAAATGTAAGCGAGCCCAATCCTAGCATAAGTGCTGAGAAAGCAAGCCACCGTGGCTTGTGTCCTCTTTCTCCAAAGAAAGATATGAACAGTGACAATATGCAAAAAGAAATGTCATAGCTTGCCGAGATTAAGCCAGTGAGGGAACTGTTCAACTCATAACGCTTCTCAATTGTTGAAATACTAATGTTAATCAGGCCATTTACCACAATACCTACAAGAAAAAAAAAGAGAGATAATTAGTCAAAGTTACTTTAATTTCGCAGAGTTTCAAGGGTAGTTACCATGGTGTGATGGAAGCGTTAAAATTAATACATTTACAAAGCTACATTTTAAGGTATTTATTAGCTGTAAAATCCAGGTATATAGTGGATTGATATGGTGCCAACTTAAGCCAGCCAAACTGCACAGGATCTATGCATTTTTATTCTCTCCTGTGGACACTAAAAATTCAACAGTCAAGTATTAAGCCAGTGAAATACCATGCCTCAAACTCTGTTCATGTATTAAGGTTCCAGTTTCAGTTTGAAGCACAGACAGATTTCAAACAGAATGCATTACAGTATCATAAGATACTGTATAAATTAAAAGGAAATTAGTCAAGGTTATGACTTGCATTAGAATACAAGCTATGACTGAAACAAGTTCAGGACACAGATTTTAAATAATGATTGTCAATTAAACATAATTTCCTCCCTACCGTCATGAAGAGAAGATACAGGAAGGCTTTTAAACAGACACCTTTCCTCTATAATATAAAAAACTGTAAAGCTATTTAAAAATACTTTGCAACTGTTTCAGAGCAACTGAGGTGATTTACTTTAGCTGAGAAAAAGGTTTGCCATCTGAATCTTGAAGCTTCCTGAAGAAGCAGCATCATACAACCTGGAAAAAGGCCTTGCATAAGCTGCTGTACTTAGGTACAGGCAAATTCTAAAAAACTGATCCAAAAGTAGAAGCAACTAAGCTGCAATTGTCTTTGTGTGCTTATATACACTGTCCATTTTTACAAAATTGTTGTTTATGGATACTAACTTGAATCTCCCATCCTGCCTCACATTCTGTTTGTATGTGAAACATCAAGTAGTTAAACTTATAGAAGTTTACTTTTGACAGTCCCAAAATAGGATTCTGTTACAAGTGAGATGAATAGCTGTACTTCATAACAGTGTCAAGTAACTTCATAGCAGTCTAATTAAACTCTGTCTGTAATAAAATATATACCCTGGAAAAAAGTTAAGAAGTCTTGGAGTCACAGTTGCAAATAAGGTTAAGAGTTCTGTAACCTCACAGACGACTGAGGAGTGTCTCTCATGATATAGACCCTACAGTTATCCTTCCTCTTCCTAAAATTCAAACACAACTCTCTACTGTCATTCCAAGAACAGAACAGAAGGGCAGATGACTGAGGACAGTAATGGATTTAAGTTAGTTTTCAACAAGCATTGCACCATCCAGAAATGCAACTACATAGGCTGAACTTCAACTGATACGCCTAGAGTGTTCCACACATTAAAACACCCACTAGATTTGTGGTCAAGCTGTTCTCTTATCAATGCAATCCCCACCATAACTAAACACTTCAGCTTTCTATAAGCAGGCAGCTCTTGGCACAATCTTATTTTCTAAGAAGTTTTTCTCTTTATTAAGGATGACAATTTCATCTGTCAGTCTGACCACCACACAAATTCATATGGGATTAACAGAAGTTTTCAGGTGTTCCTCCACAGCAATTATTTATACATTTGGCAGCTTCCTTCTTTTCTTCTTAAGTAGCATTGACCGAGGAACAATACTAGCATGAAGGAATGAACAAATAAGTTTCTGATTTGTCAGCACTTCAAACATTTACTAAGGCCTTAAAGCATTCATCTGAAGTAGGTGTGCTATGTAGGAAGTTGATTACAGAACTAGAAGACATTGTCTTTCACCTGTAGTTTAAGTTGCCACCTTTAATTTATATTCTAAAAGCCACAAAACCTTGGAGTTAATTTTTAAAAATGTAGATGTGATGACTGGCAGCATAACTTCTCCAATGCCATCATCTACTGATTAATCACTAAAGTCTCTTCAGGAAAGATGGAACCTGGCTGATACTAACTTGATCTGAAAAACAAATCCTACAAGAACAACTCAACATTTAAATAGCAGTATAGAAATTATTTTTTAACTATTCTCCTCCAAAACCTTATTATCCTGTCACATATGTTAGAAGTTTAGGTACAGAGTGTACTGACCCACAAAATCCAGATTAATCAGAAACCAACTTCATTTGCTCTAACAAAATACAAGAGTATTTTTTCCTCATCCATTTAACAAAAAAAAAAAAACCACACCACCTTATTCTACAGCTGTTATAACTGTGGTGGCTTTAAAGCAATTGTTTGCAGAAATCCAATTAAAAAAGAAAAACAAAAGTAATCAAAAAGTCCTTCCACTAACAAATGTAATCAGAGTATAACATATTAGTGCTATCCAAAGTCTTCAGACAGATTAGACTGGACAAGTCTCCAAGAGTGGCTCTGATGTCTTGTTTAATAAAATTATTATTGACACGGGGAATAAACAGTCTTTATTGTACTCAAAATAGTGTGTTAACTTCTACCTTGTTTGCTGCTACAGCTATGAACTGCAGCTTATCCGGTTATTGTATTACAAGATGCAGTCAACATTTATGCAACTCTAAGTGCCATACAGAAAGCAGGTATTAATCATGTAACCACGTTCTACACAAAGAAGTGTTTTCTATTCTGGAAATACAGGTTTCACATGTACTTGAAACAGAAACAGACAGAAAGAAGACAAAATACAGCATATCATGTGGTAGTGATAACAATAACCTCTTTTCTAGGGCAGTTTGAAAATAACCTGATAAATACATGCCTTCAGTTAGACACACATGTACCACGTCACTGCAGATAACTACCTACTATGTTCACTCACTGTGTAAAAAGTCTAGTAAAACAACTTACCTACATCAAAAGTGTGTTAAAGACTACTTCATTACTCTTCAGCATATTAGGAAATAAACTTTCCTAGAGGTACATTAGCAAGCTCTATAGATATATTTTATCTTCCTCAGTGATGGTTCTGTAATTTGGAGGGTAAATTAAATAATCAGAGCCAAAGCTGGAGTACAGTAGTAGCTCACAGCTTCAAAATCGCACTTGTGTTTTGTGTGCTTTTATCTAAACTCTGAAGCTGCAAGACCTGAACATTTTTGCAAAGTTTCACATATACCACTGAATTTCTTGTCTGAAAATCATTATTGGTTTTTCTGCTTCTCGAAAAGAGTTGCAACTTGAGTCTTCAGTGCCCAGTTTCCTTTCCACAATCTAGTCAAAGGAAAGGCACTTGTTCAGAAAAATCCAGATAACACATCATTAAGAATGCCACAAGCCATGCCTACATCAGCTTTTAAAACAAGCATTAGAAGTTTCCTTACATTAAGTCCCTAAATCTGAACTAGATTAGATAGGTACTGAGAACCTACCCACACTACTAATAAGAGATAAAATTTAAATTATACTGAATTCATTATTCAGCTGAGTAGACAATCAGATGAGCAGAGCAAACTGGATTTTAAGAAATATTGCTACAGCAAATTTAGAAGTGCTGGAAATACTGAAGATGCTTTGTCTAGTGTAATATGATCTGAAATTTGTCAGTATCACATTCAAGGCCTTTTTGGTTCTGTATCCATATTGTTAAGCTATAAAAACATACATGCATGATCTCGAAGTCTTCTACTACCCTGCTGCCATTGAAATCTGCTATGTAAGTTCTTCCATCCCTCCTTTTCTTTTTACTATGCTGGAGAAAATAAGTTAGTGCTAACAGCAGGACAACTGCAACAGTAATCACCTCCTGGTCCTATCAGCTGCCCTTTCAAATATAAGCAAGGAATAACAGGCTTTGCCCAAAACTCGCTAGATAGTTCTTTTCTAACACAACAGATGCATGCTAAAAAAAGATCAGATTCTAAACAGGTTGAAATCAGAGCTCACAGAAATACATACTGAGAGACATCAGTTCTTCCAAGGATTTTCCAAGGAACTCAAGTAGCAGTCAGACCCTTCTAGGTTTTAAGCAGAAGGTCTTGCTCAGTTCTCCTTAGACCATCCCAGTTATCTCAGTGTGGTTCCAGCAGGAACACAGTCATCCATAATCCTGCATGTCCTCAGCATAGGCTGCCTGCTCTTCTAGCATTGAATCTCCTCTACACCTTCCCCCCATCCCTCTGCAGCAGTCTCATTGTTGATGAGCAACAAGGATGAGCTTTAAAGTCTCATAATTTTTCAGGAAACAGTTTTCTTTTCTAGCTAGTCCAATAAAGTTGACACATTCTGAACATTAATCCAATACCTTCACTGGACAGACAAATATCTTTACAAGCCTCAAGTGTGTACATTTGGTATACTAATGCTTCTCCTCCCCCTCAGCCATTATTACTACTTTCTAAGCCTAAGGCTTGCCAAGGCCATAACAAATCTTGTTACAGAAAACCAAAAATATGGACAAGAATAGCTGAAGCTGAACAACAGAAGTTAAGAGCAAGCTAAACTTCAGGTTACCCCCAAGGTTAAGTTAAGCCATTGTTAGTTAACTGTTAGAAAGATGGTTGCACTGGGATCCAGAGACCAAAACCAGGTATTTTTGAAAGTCATCTTCATTGCACAAAGTCCCACCCAACCATGCCAAGGTATTTTTTTAATTGACAGGCAGGTAACAAAGTACATGCCAGGGCACTACAGTTTTGTGTACTGGTTTATATTGTATGTTTTATTCCCTGGCTCATGTCTCAACCCGTGAGGCACATAGGGAACACTACTTCCCTGTGAGCAATGGGGATGCAGCACAGACAAGAGCATGAAGCACAGCAGCCGTTGGACCTACGCACTCAGCAGTAGCCAAAAAGGTAGGCGGGAAGAGAAGAAAATGAGGAAGAGAGTGAAGTACAGAGAGCAATACTGCATGAGCAACTTCCCTATCCAAGGCACCAGCATACTTTCTTCCCCTAGTGAAGCCACTACCACCACTCTTCAGCAACAGCCCCAGACTCTGGCAGCTGGAGGAACCCCGCCTTCCCTTACCCACCACCCGAATCGCCACCACTCTTTCTCTGCCTTCCCCAGCCCAGGCTCCCACCTGGCTTCACTCACAGCTCCAGGATGGAGAGCAAGATGTGCCCAGGACAGCAGAAGGCCTGCAGGGGCCAGGTCACACAGGGAAGGTGGAGAGGACGGCAGCAGGCCTGCAGCTCTGGACAAGGTGGTGGGAACGGGTTACCTTGGAAGACAGCCAGGAGGCTGTAGGCAGCCAGGTAGCCCTCAGGGTTGTTGCAGAGCTGCAGAGCCTTAGGGGTGCAGCGGCCCCACCCGCAGGGCCCCTCCTCAGCCGTCGCCGCAGG